TTGCACTAAAATGGACTCATTTTAAATAGAGCCAGATTTATACATTAGCCCTATAAAATACTGAGCTGCTTACAGCAGCAAATATGAAATTACAGAAACATGATTTTATTTAAAAACCCATGTCTGTTACCTCAAAACAATTTTTCCCTTTCAAATCTATCTCCCTTAACCAGTATTAATTTCTTCTATCACTGAATTCTGGTCTATTATCTCAATCTGACTTTCTTATTATGCTGTCCTGGAAAAACATATTCACATTGAAAAAAATACTGGAAAAAGAATACTTCCTAATACTGGAAAAGCTTAAATTTACTCTGAAAAATGGGGATACAGGAATTATAAAGTAAAAAAGTCTGTTATGAAAGTATCTTTCACGAATATATATATTTAAATATTAAAATAGGCTAACTAGGATTTTTATAAAATGACTTTTGAAAAGATAGCAGAGGCACAAAGAAGCCATATACTGTCCTCCAGATTGGAGATAAGGTGCCATAAGGGTGCCCTACAAAGAGGCAGGCAGTCTCTATCTGATGCGACAGGAGTCACCAGTAACAACAGAACAATTAAATATATTATTGGGAATTTAGATCAAAATAAAATGTTACTCTATCAAGGATTGTTGGTTTTTAAAAAATACCTTGAAATACAAGCATCAGAAGCCATCATTTTGTACAAGGAAGATAATGAATAAAGTTTATGATCTTCCAAATACCCAATGTCATTCATTTCAGGTATCTGAAAGATGAAACACAGTGCAACTTTCAAGAATTTAATGGACTACTCTCAATGTGAGAGACTTTACAAAGCATCTGTCAATTTGAAAATTGATATTGAAATAAAAAGAAAGCTCCTAGAGAAAACACACTCATAACCTAATCATAGAAAAGCTTCTCTCTAGAAAGCAGGTGTTTCTAAGAACTGCACAAAAGGCTTCCCATCTCATGAACACAGCCTCCGCTAATACCAAGAGAACAACATGTATCCAGGAGATGAAGGGCTTCTCTTAGAGCAGGGAAGATGTATCCTTCCTCAGCAGGTGATGCACTTTGGTAAACTGAACATTCACTTGCAGAATGCTTTTCTAACTTAATCAAATAAAATCTGGATGGTCAGACTGGATATTTGGAAAAACAAAGACAGTTTAATAAAGGTTATGATACTGCAGCTTCTCAGACAATTAAGCAGCGATTTTTATCAGTAAATTATCACAAGTGAGCTCAGGACTTCAGGCTTGACCAACAAAATTTGTCAATTTAAGAGAGCAAGGAAATAAAGAAATAGATTTTGTGAGCCAGTCACTTCAAACTAAAACCATTTTAAGTTTAAAAAATTTTTTTATTAAAGTTTTTGTTTCCAATCCTTGCCTGAACTTTAAGTTCTTTGTAAACTAGTATATTCACAGGAAGCTTGGTATTATTAGTTGGAACTGCCCTAGGTCCTGTACAGAGGAAGTTTAACTAAAGCATTATGAACACTTTAGGGCAATCTCATTTTCTACATACTGAACTGCCAAACTCAGATTCTCTTAAGTGTTTGGAATTTCTGAGAGGACTATTTTCAAAAACATGTAACTATGTTTTTCTATAATAAAAATGTAACCATAACTCTTAATGGTAACTAGTACTATGTCATCCCTGTATTTGACACAGGGTTTAACTTCCCATAAACACAGTGACACAAGTCTCAACTTCAGTAGTCTAAAGTGAAACATCACAAAGTATTCCTCAGCTCATTCTGAGGACTGGCTGAATCCCACCTCTCTGTGTAAGTTGAATCATTATTGATTTTGGCTAATAACACACTGGACTTTGGGAGACACTCTAGATCCAAGGTGTAACAATTAAGATTCTTTTTTCTTCTTTAATATGTTAAGCTGCTAGATATTCTAATTTTGATCCATCCTTGCAATCCTGGGGGAAAAAGAACCCTATTGGTCACAATATCTTTTAAAGTGCATAGCTTGAGTTAATTTGCAAATATTATTTTGGATTTTGCACTGATGTTTAAAAGTGAAATTAGTCTATACTCTTTTGATTTCAGGCAGCACATACTGCTCTTCTGTCTGCTCAGTGGTTGTTTTATCCCCCATGATACCCCAGCCACTCTCTCAACTCTGAAACCTGAGGTCAGCCAGCCTTCCTCTCTAAACTCTTTTCAAGTTGTGTTTCTGTTCTTTTCTGGAGCATGGAGGTGTTTATTTTGGTTCTACTATATTTGTTTCAATGATTATCTACTTAGAGTGTGGAATGCATGATCTTTCTACTCTGGGATTGACATTCTCTGTCACAGTATTGTGTTCTACAACCATCCAGCTTTAGAGACTCGGAAAAGCAGCCACCTTCCCAGTGCATGAATAACACTTCTGTGCTTAAGGCCATCAGCAAAAGTAATGGGCACACTCCTAATTCTTTCATTTGAGTTGTTGTTGAGCTTTTAGCTGCGCCTCTCAGAATGCTACATTCTACAGCAATTCAACAAAAACCATGCATGTTTACAATTCAAAAAAGCATGCCAATCTCTAACACACGTCTTTTTGTATTTTTCATATCATTCCAACCAAGGTCAGAAATAAAATTATTTCTTTAAAATGCATTTGTTCAGTACTAAGTTCAGCAGCATATGCTTTGAGGGGAAGAATTCTTCCTTGTTTCTTTGGTGCATTTTAAAAACCTTGGCTTTGCATTTTAGCTTCTTCAAAGAATATTTTATTGATTAAAGTTGTTAGTTGTATTATTTCAAGAGACTCTTTCCCCAGCCCAATTGCCCATCAACTGGAGACTGGATAAAGAAGATGTGTTTTTTTGTTTTTGGTTTTTTTAATAAAATGGAGTACTACTCAGCCATAAAGAATGAGAAACTAGAGTCATTTATAGCTAAATAGATGCACATTGAGGCCATACTCTTAAGTGAAATAAATAGGACACACATGTGTAAATAGAAAATAGTTTCTCTGGTATGAGAAACTGAAAGTGCAAATAAGGATCAAAATGTATAATAGATAATGTGAAACAGGAAGAAAAGGTGGAAAGAGGAAGGGGAAATGGGAGGAGTAGAGGAAAGGAAAGAAGGGAAAGGAAAAAATATGAAAAAAGAAAAAAATGAAACAAAGTCTTTGTAAATTGGGAGTGGTGGAGAGGTTGAAGGGAGGGCAGGGGAATGGGGAAAAAATAAGAACCAAGATACATCATGTACAAATTGAGAATGATGAATGTCAGCATATTGTATACCTAAAATGTACCAATAAACTTAATGAATAAATAAAACAAAGAGATTCTTTCCCTTTTGTGGAAGATAAAAGAGAAACTGATTTATTTGCATAAATATATAAATTTAGATTTCAGGACCTTTTGACTATCTCTACCAATTCTAGAATACAGAATATGTACAGTTATGCCAAATATACATAATTAACTTTACAAAGACCACAATTACTGCAGATATCTTGAAATATGTTGCAATTTAAGTTTATTTTTTTGCTTAAAACACTGAATGTATTTTTTCCCATGGAATTTTATAAAATATTTATTTCTGTTTCTAGACTAGTCCATAACCTTATTTAGTAGAGGTGCACCTATGCAACCACCTGTATGTAGCAGTATATTACTCCCTTATGAAGTAGATTCATATTACTCCCTTATGAAGTAGTAGCATTCAAGTGGTCTTTATTTCTTTGCAGGTGAGATATTCAAAACTTGGGCAGTTTTAAATTCAGTTGGAGAACAAAATTGTCTCTCATGCTGTGTTATCATGAGAGACATCTGTTATCATGACTTTATTTCTTGCCCTTTCAAGATTAATTCATGACTTATGTTTTTAATAGTGCTTATTTATTTATAAAAGGCTTAATTATTTTCAAGTCTTATTCACTTATTCTTAGAGTAATTGGAATGAATCAAGACTCTTGAAGCTTTTAAATCTCTAGTGACATTGAGGAAGTGTTTATGTAACCTCATTGCTAAAGTATCCATAAAGCATGTTTTTTGACATAAAATTTTTCTCTCCTTTTACACTTTTTTATATCTTTCCTTCTCCCCCCTTCCTCCCTTCCTTCCTCTGCTTTCTTTCTTCATCACATAATTTTCTTACCCTTCTTTTTTCTTTGTTGTTTTTTTCTTACCCTTCTTTTTCATTCCTCTATTTCCGTCATTGCTTCTCAGGAAAGCATATATGGGGCCCTGTTAGGGAAAAGCACAATCCAGGTTGAGTTGAATGTGTAGTGTCTTATGTTTTGGTCTAAGGTTTAGACTACCAGAAAAGTCTCAAATATCACTTGTTCCCCCAAAGTGAGAAAATATTTCAATTTCTTTATTTATGGATACTTAAAAAGTTAGGCAGATGGTATGCCATTATTTTTTTTTCCTGGTAGGGATGAAACACAGAGAAGTATTTCATTAAACAGTTAAGGAAAGACTTTCACTCACCCACTCAGAAGAGCAGCTAAATCCGTCTCTGTGGAGAGGTCAGTTCTTGACACATTGTGTCTGAGTGAGTGTGATCATGAACTATATGCAAATAGGATCTGAATAATGGGATTTGTTTTGTGGATTTTTGAAAAGAACCAGACACATAAAAGCTTTATAAATGAAGTGCTAAGGTGGTATTGAAAAGAGGCATCCTAAAATCTTGACTGTTCTTTCATTTTTTTCCTTTAAATGCCATACGAAAGGAAAAGGAGCCAATCCTCCTACCCCGTCGTGACTACTGGACATCTCTGAATTTGAACACAAACCTTTCAGGGCAGGGATTTGTTCAAAGTAAAGAAATGCAGGCAAAAAGCATATTGGAGGAGCCTGTGCAAGTGCGCGTGTGGGTGTCTGTGTAGACAGCACGCGTGAACATACTTGCAGATGTGTATAAGCATCTGGCAGTGTGTGTGCATGCCTGGGAATGCACTTGCCTGTGTGTGTGTGTGTGTGTGTGTGTGTGTGTTTCAGGCGGGAGAGGCTGTTTCAGCTCAGCCAGTGACAGAGCAGTTAGAACATCACTAATAGTGAGAAAGGAAGCTGGGAAGAGGCTAGGAAGGAAACAACCGTCCTATTAACAAAAGCTCAGTCTTGTCCCGGAGGACCTACCAGCCGAAGGGAAGGGTGAACGTGGCTCTCGGCCTGGGAGCTGGAGCTCCTTGCAAACAGTGGCAGGCATCCCGATCCTGTCCTTCTCAGGAGGAGTCCTGGAGCTTGGTGCTCCTGAAGTTTGCAAAGCCGCAGCAGCAGCCTTGGAACAAATGAAGTGGAGTGTGTGTGTGTGTGAAATTTAGTTCTGGTTGGGGTTTTTTTTTTTGATGTGTGGGTTAATGGATTTTTAGTACAAAGAAAACTCAAACTCAGCTGACCTGAAAGACTGGAATTTCAGCTCTCTTCCTTCCCTGGGATATTTTTCCTCCCCCTTCCTCTCTAAGCCCTTTAAACCAGATTACTGGGTCAGTGACTCTTACTCAGCCCGCCAGTTCCAAGGTTTCCAGCTTGTTTGGCTTAGAAAGAAAAACCACTACATGTAAGTATCTGCTTTATGTGATTCCTCTCATCCTGTGAGTGTTCCGTGAGCTGAACGCCAGACAGGCTGTTTGCTTGGTGCATTAATGCTGAGTAACAATGCAAGAAGTCTGCAGAGGCGGCTTGCAAAAGTTTGATTCTTGTGTTAACTCAGAAAGTGGACAGTATTGTTAACCAGCCAAATGCCAAAAACAGGGTTGATGTACATTTCTAATTCTCTTCTGAATACATCCTGAAGGCACTTGCCAATGAAATAAACATTTTTAATTTTGCAAAATTTACGCTGAAGTTAGAATGTTTCTTCTCAGCTAAGAGAAATGGCAAAGGGAAGAGATGGAAAAAATAATAGAACAGATAATATCTTCAGTGTATCAGAGTCTAGAATTTGGAAATGACTTCTGGTTACTTTTGCTTTAGTTATATTTGGATATATTCTTTAAAAGCACGATTTCTATAATTTAGGGGTGGGATGTTGGGGAGGCAAAGAAATCACATTGTTGTGAAATTTTTGTCTGAGTTTTAGTTTCCCCTCATTACTGAGATTTGGCTTAAAGTGTTTGCAGATGTAGTAAATTATTTCTTTTAGTTTTTATCTAAATCATTAAAATCATTTTCAAGGCACTTAATGTTAGTTTCTGTTTTTTTGTTTTGTTTTACTGATGTGTTCAGTCTTGTCATGTGGTGTGAATTACAAACCTTAGAAAGAGCGTTTTCAGGGACAGGTTGCTGTTTCTAGGCTGGAAATCTTGCTGAGACATTAACTTCCTCAGGGCTGCTTCCCAGCTGGTCCCGATGACCCAGCCGCTCTTCAGGTTTCTGCTCTGGAAAATGATCACCTTTTAGGGCTCTAGTTAGGAAGGAGATGCATCTTTCCCCACCATCCCTCCTTCGACTTGGTGAAAGTACGTTCTGTGTAACTCTGGGAAAATGCTAACTACTATTGCTTTTTTCCCCACCGGGGATCCCCAAAACTTAAGGTGGGTAAGAACCTCCTTACTTGGTGAAAAGCAGACACCTAGCCCCCACCACTTAAAGGATTTTAGATCCAGGGTGGGGCTAGGAATCTGTTGCAGATGATACCACACTAAAACTGCTCTACATTGTCTTTGGCAGTTAAATTCTTGTCAAGTGTTCCATTAACATCAAACCTCATATCTAAATAATAAACCTGATGTTGAGCTGATGTTAAACACTTTACAGGCAACATGGTTTTGCATTCTTGGTTGCTAAAGTAGAGATTTTAAACCAATTTTCTCAATAACCTCATTCTTTTTTCTTGCTCTTTTTGTCCAACTTTGCCCTCCTACTCCCATGATTGAGAAAGGAATCGGGGCCGGGTACCTAGATACCCTGTTACCTTGCTGCCAGGTGCTGAGCTGTTCAGCCCTCTCTCCTCTCTGTGGCTAAGCAGTGTTTGCCATGGACAATTAAAACCCAGGGATGTTGGGCCGGGGATTTAGCTCAGTGGTTTCGCCGCCTGCTGCACAAGCGCAAGGACCTGAGTTTGATCCCCAGTACCAAAAAAACCCAAAACAAACAAAACAAAAAACCCCACAAAAACCCAGGGATGTTCTACTTAATTATCAGCCTTCTGAGAATGCTCTGATCCTGGGGCTAGTGTAGGCTGAACTGAGCTGAATGTCTTGGGATAATAGGTCAGGAGAAATCTTACCCCTAGAAACTAAGTTTATATTGGGCCAACAGAGACTGAAGGAACAAGAGTGAAGAAACAGAAATGGTTTATCCATCACATTGAAAGTCCTCACTTGACAAAATCTGAAAGCCAGAACTCTGCTGCTGTGCTATCCCCATATTTTATGGCATTTAATAGTTGCAGAAAAAATAAAACATGATGTGTATTTTAAAGCCATTTCCTTTCTTCCCTCTCCTTGTTTCAAGAATTTGAGTGTACCTGCTACATGCTAGGCTCAGTGTTGGTTTTAAAGGATTTCTAAATGACCAATGTGAATAGTACGGACAAGGTCTTGTCTCGGTGGCATTTCCAGTCTTAGCTGGTGCCAACCAGTCTTAAAGGAGCCACCTAACTGCTCTAAACTTCAGTTCCTCTGTCAGTAAAATGAGGTGGATTAAATGAGTTTGGGATCTTTCTATCTCTGATATCCTGCACTGGTGGAAAGGATTCAGTCTTTTAAATGCAGATGTGGAGTATGGGATCTTTTTAGTGTTCGCTTTGCGAATAGGCACAAAGACTTGGTTTACTATTTTACTGCAAAAATTTAAAAGTATATCTAATAAATTTTCTGCCTCTCACAAAGAGCCGAGACCACCAATTTCCTGAGGAAACAAATGTCACCTTTTCAGAGTGCACAGGCCTCTTCCCAGGGGGATCCTGTAATTCCTAGAAGGGGTTTCTCTGGGCCAGGTCACCTGGGAGGGCAGTGCCTTATCTTGTCTGAATCTGATGTTGCTGCCCCTGTGGAGAGCTGGGTGGTCTGAACAGGGCTTGTTGCTTCTGCAGTGCACAGCTTGCAACCTGACCCTTTCATTCAAGTGACTCCAGGTGAGAGGCTCAAACAGAGGCCTTTGAGGCGTTGGGAAACACAAAAAGCTAACAAAAAAACTCACTCCCTAATGAAACCTTGTCTGCACTGTATTTTGTCTGTGAACTAGCTTCTCTTACTGCCGTGATGGGACCCTACTTCAAAGGGCTGTAAAAGTTGGCCATCGAGATAAGAAAGATCTATGCTTTTCTGACAAATGCAGCCCCAAGCTGACTGAAAATGCTGTGTGTAGGTGGGAAGCTGTTGATCAGAAGACAAGGGAGGGATCTTGCAAAGTCAGGATTTTTTTCCTGTGCTGGGGATCAAATCCAGGCCCTTGAACAGAGTAGGCAAGTGTTCTATCACTGAGACATACCACCAGCCCTAGGTTATGATCTTTTAAGTTGAATGTTCCTCACCCCTCATTGGTAAGTTTTTACAGGAGAAGACAAAAACAGGTTTTGTTTTCATCCTTACCCTTCCTTATTTTTATGGGTTTGATGATATTTGGAAATGTGTATTAAAAGATGATACCCAAAATACTCCTTTTGTGTATCACTTAAAGGCCGCTAAGATTACATGTCACTTTTCACTCTCAACTTCATTCTTGCAACTTTCCTATCAGCTTTGTAGGGACAGGGACTGATAAGCACACCAGGCTCAGCCCGGAGGCCTTCCACTGGGTGTCCTACCTCCCTGGGACCCACTTCTGCCTTCCATCAAGTGTTATCAGCTGCTCGGTGCTGGTGCTTACGAACACTCCCTGCACTCCTCCCTTAGAATAAATGAACCACATATTTGTCTCTTGAGCTTGAGCTTTATGGCATGGTTTCTTCATTCCAGGGCCTCAATTTCTTATTGGCAAAAAGAAAAAAAATTCAGTTTTTATAAATTATAGACCCAAACCATTATAAAGTTGGGAAGATTTCAGAAAGGATAGAAATCTACAGATGAAGACACATCCAAACATTTTAAAATTTGGGGGTATTTACTGTCAATTGCTCTCATAACCCAAATTTGTCTTCCTTCGTCAAAAGTGATCCTGGGCCGCGGATTTAGCTCGGTGGCACTGCACCTGTCTTGCAAGTGCAAGGTCCTGAGTTCGATCCCTGGTACCAAAAAAAAAAAAAAAAGAAAAAAAGTGATCCTACCTCTTAGACAACACAGCAACGGCACAACAGCAATACTTTAATTCTGTTTTATGTAAACTTTCTCTTCTGTTATAACATGGTAGGAAGTTTCTATTTCATTTAATAAACATTAGTGATTGTTTTGAAACTAAAAGATAGCATTAATACAAGAGCCTGACTGTTAAATCAGAGAGGTGTAGTAGAAAAAAAGATTGGCCTTTGAATACATTTCAAGTAAGTACTAACCCTGGGCTGCAATGTTCGTTTCCTTTGTAACCTTACAAGTTTGCCAGCTTCCTTGAAAGTAAAATGAGGGTATTAATACTTATTGGATATCTGTGCATGGTGAAATGTGTACAAGTGCTCAATAAATGATGCTTTGGGAGAAGGCAAATACAGGTGAGGAGTTGGAAAGAAGCAAACATGTGACAAGTTACCTAATGTATAGGTGAAAAGGAAAAAGAAATAAGCAGTAAAGGTTTCTTCCAGATCCTACTTCCTGGGCATAGCAGATCTCAGTACTGCACATCCTCCCCTGACCTTCGACCCTGACCAGCAGTCTAGTTCTCACTTGATTCTTTCTCATCGTTTGAGTGGCCTGCAACAGATCCATGAACTTACAGGCTATTTAGGTGACTTTGAGTGGAGAACCAAGGGTAGTGTGAAAATCATTCTGCCTTCATTTCTTCTTGATTCTCAGAATTTAAGACTTTTATAGTTCTTTCAGGTAAATATATAAAGAGATGAATCATTTTTTTCTCTAGATTTTGCTCCATTGTGTCGAGGGATTCAACTTGAGAGAGAAACGTTTGTTTGAGAATTTGAACCCCTGGGTTCGCACCATAGTGAGCTTGTGAACTATCACCAAAAGGAAAGACAGTGGTGTTCAAACACACATTCTGTCTGTATGCCTCTCTGCGGCCCCCCCCCCATTTTTTTCTTATAGATCTGATGTTTGTTTTGGGTTCAGCCACTCAACTGATATTTTCTGAGCTTCTCTATGCAAGATCCAGTGATGAGCCCTAGAGGCACTTGGGTGAACAGAATAGTCATGCTTTTTATCTTCAAGGAGCTTACAGACCAGGAAAAAAGGCAGATTTCAAAAAACAAAACAGAACAAAAAAAACTACAAGAAATAATAAAATGCCTGTAGATGTCCAGCATTGCAGGATTCTATGTGGGCAGAAAAAACTGGTCTGGGAGGTTGAGACGGGAAAGATGAGGATAGAATTCAGCCAGGCAAACAGAGCAGCTGGTGGCATGGGAAAAGGGTATTCATGGCCAGTGGAACAGCACAGATCAAGGTCACAAAGCCTCAAAAGCTGCATGGGCAGTGTGGGTGTGAAAGGAAGGGAGAGTCTGGTTTGACT